TAGATCATAATAGATTTAATTTTAATTAGATTAGACTGAAGCAACTCCAATTAAAATAGGCTTAAACACACAGGACTAATTAAACTAGACTTAAACAAAACGAATTAAAATAGACATAGAATCAATTAAGTAAGATTAAACAAAACCAATCTAATTCCAGAATTACGATTCTTCTGCACTCTTCTTCGAGTGCAAAGGATTAATACATTTTTCGATTATATTTTAGGGCAAATATTTTATTAAAAAAAATTTAACAGATTTCAGTTGCTGGTCTTTTAATCGGTAACGCTGTTGCCGATGTTCTGGTGCAACCTGGCTACGGTCAACCGCAAATGCCGTTGCTTCCGCAACAGATAGTGCCACCCCTTTCGGCGCTTCCACACGTCCCAATTCCAGGCTACGGACCGTTCCGCTACCACAATCCTGGATATCATCTGGAGCTTCACCCGGTCTATGGACATTTGGACCAATCGCTTGTTGGATTAGGGCATCATCAAGGTCACGATTTATCGGGAGCACTACACAGACGCCTCCATCATGCGGGACTGAGTGGTTTTGGAATTCCTCGCACGCATGCACCCCTCATTCCTTTGGTGAGCACTGGGACCATTTATATGACATTTTCACGATAGTTAGACACCGAATTCCATGCACTCATGGCATTTTATCTTGCTGTTAGGAAATAATATGTGAGATTCGTTGCTGTGTAACTCTACAGGGTGTCCCAGGTTTTAATGTTCGAACATTGATAGTGTATTCTATGGCACGAAGTAAGAAAAAAATGTTATGTAAACATAGGTCGTATAGAGCTTTATTAAGAAGTTATAACAAAAATTCAGAATGGGAATAGTAATCAACTTGCTGTTACTGCGAGCATTGGTTTGAATAGATCAGCGCATGCCGTGTGTTTATGCAAGCTGTGTTTATTAATACATTTCGAAATGTATTAATAACCGTTTTTGACAATACATGATTGACATCGATCGAAGATTTTTTTTTATTTTTTATTTTTTTTTTAGTTGATTACTATCCTATTCTGAATTTTTGTTATAATCTATATGACCTATGTTTACTTATACAATTCTTCGTGTAATTCCAAATATATTTGGGGGAGTAATTGAATTATTTTTTTTATATCAATCTTAATCTTATTATTTACACCTATTTTAAACTTAAATAAATATTCATCCAATAAATTCTACTGATTTAATCAATATTTCTTTATTGTTATATTTAAATTACATTTTATTATATTTATTAAATAATTATTAAATTTATTTTATTTTAATTAATTATATCTTAATTAAATTTAAGATATAATTAATTAAAATAAAATAAATTTAATAATTATTCATTTACTTTTTTTACTTTGTGCCATAGAATACACTGACAAAGTTTGAACATTAAAACCTGGGACACCCTGTATAATAAAAGTTGGGCATAAGAATTTGTGACGCATGAAAAATAGCAGTCGTATGGTAGTCGTTGTAGGATGGTAACAATTATAGCCATTTTCATTCGACAAGCGTTTTTTTAGTTTATAACGAAATGCTATTTAATCACGGAATGGATACATCTAATATTTTTAATAGAACGTTCAACAGAATTCATTCAATTGAGCTCGGAAGAAGAAGTAAAAAGTTGAAGAACATTTTTATTAGAAATTCTCATCTACACAACATTTATTATCGTAATTCTTTGCTCGTCGATTACTTTCACAATCGTGTACGTCTACCTATTTCCGTGTTAATAGAAGAAAGCCTCGAAGTTCATTGCAAGTCACTTCAAACTGAAATTAAATACCAGGAAAACGGTTTCTCGTTTTTCGATTTCAAAAAGGAACGTGTAATAGTCAAGTTTATTAAATTTGTGTTGGAGCTATTTTACTACAGGACTTGCTCGATATTAAAATGCAAATTAAAGGAAGGTTGGGAGCCCAAGAACACGGTCGCCTATCCGACATTATGAATTCGTGCAATGGACTGGGCGCGAGCCTGAAGAAATAATGAATATTACTTCTCGAGATTTTTCTGAGAATAAGTTCTTCGTCCCCAATATCGAAGAAAGAAAATAGTCGAATTTATTTATTTATCGACAGCTTGTTGATAGGCATTTTAACGACTGAACTGTATCCAAAAGACAGTCGACAATTTTCTATTAGAGAATAATTTCAGAAGAAACTTTCCGACTATGTGAAACGAATCGTTAAGAAATTCTCAACTGCTGATCATTGATTTTAAAAGAATTGTTACAAAATATATATAATATATATAAATATATATAATTATATAATATATATAAATATACATAATTATTATATATAATAATATAATTGTATAATAATAATAATAATATAATTATATAATTATATAACAATAATAATAATATAATTATATAATTATATAACAATAATAATAATATAATTATATAATTATATAACAATAATAATAATATAATTATATAATATATATAAATATAAATAATAAGATTATCATAGTGTTATTAACGGAGCTTTTCTCAGCCAGCACATCGAAGATTCAGAAGATCCGCTAGTGGGCGAGCCAGCGGACAACGAGAAAAACGCGTGGCTGTGGCCACGAAGTCGACCCTAAACGGAGACAATGGGATGGTCGTTGATTTGTTGAATTCCGACGAAAAAGGTACGAACATTTATATGCACGTATAAATACAAGAATTCGTTCGCATTTGTTGACTGTGCCACAAGAATTTTGTTCCCTTCACTGGCAAATTTGATGCGTGAAAAATAAAACGTAACCGTATCACATTTCGGTTAACTTTGAATCTTACAAGCTTGTGAACATGTTGCACATGCATAAAGAGTCACAGTCTACTTATCACTAGACCGCGGATCTTTATGCAAATGAAAATTTTTCTGCATCAATTGCGAGAAATTCGAGCCAAATAGAAAGTTATTTCTAACAGACTTAATTATAGTTGAGAACAATGAATTACTTGTTTACCGTTATAAGTACACACGATTTCCGTTATAAACGCATAAAATCTGCGATCTACTTAATGATTATGTATTTGGTAACAAGTTGCATTGTGCATTTCTAATATTATGAATACTATTATGATACGGCTAATAATTGAATTGAATTTTAATATAAAGTTATGGTTAGTTTATTATGAATAATAATTGAATTATTATTGATTAGTATTATA